TGTAATAGATATGTAGTTAATTTTTTGCCACCAATCCTGGAAGAACTGCTCAGACATGAAAACTCAGAGCTTTAAAAAAAAAAAAAAAAATTAATAAAAACCAACCCGGACTTGTCGGGTCATGGAAAACCAGACTTGTGGAAACCGGCGTCTCGAGGGAAACGGTAGAACAAGCACACACTGTGATCATTGTTTGTTTCACACTTTGACTCTGGGATGTGGTTGAAACTTGTTCTCTTGAAACAGTGAATTATTAAGTTTTTGTTGTAAATGAACCAAGCCTGAGATGACGTCACGGGTGGATCGTGATAACGTATCTGGGTGAGTAACAGAGCCGCTGTGACATGAACTGCAGCGTAAACGTCTGTCGTGCAGGGACATGCTGCAGCAGGGCGGATCGGCAGTAGATGGCGCCATTGCCGCACTTCTGTGCACATCCGTGGTCAACCCTCAGAGCATGGGCGTCGGTGGAGGGTCGATATTCACCATCAGGAACCGGACAGGTGGGTGACCGGAGCAGCCTGGGTTTTAAACGTTGGATATTTAACATGTTAATTATCATTTGCGCCCCCTTCAGGCGGTGTAAAAATCTACAACTTCAGAGAGACGGTGCCAAAGTCTTTCCAAGCAGACTTCCTGAGCAACTGCTCGCCAGACTTTAAGATTTACGAAGGTGAGAGGAGGGTTTCATGAATTATTATTTTATTTTACAACAGACGAGGATTTGATTTGATTTGATTTGATTTGATTTGATTTGATTAACGTCTCCTACTGTTCTCTCACGTGTGTGTGTCATTATTACGACGCGGGCTGGTCCAAACAGAGTCTGCATTTGAAGGGTTAAATAACGATTGTGCCAAAATAATTCTAGCGCCTGAGAGATCTGCCACGACAAGTCGGGCTTTTTTTTTTTTCTTACCATCAAACTGTGGTGTCATTGGCTGATGGAGTTTGTAGTGAAAAAAAAAAAGTCAAATTAATTCAGTGTCTAATCCAGGGGTCATAGGTCATGTTCTAAAAATAAACCTAGTCAACAACAGGGTCAAACATGGTACTGTTTCTGTGCTGTTTGAATCGGTTCCACTTCAATGACGACGGCGAGAAGAACGTTGTTCAGGAAGTCAAGTATCAAACAAGTAGTTCTTCATTTCACTAAGTGACCTTGAAAGGTCGGTGACCCCTGGACTAATGGTTGTACATTCACTGGATTTGAGGTAATTTTAAGGAACAAAAAAAAAAAATTCCCATGAAATTCAAGTCTTTTTTTTTTCTCTTTTGAGTCGACCGGTTGTTCAAGTTACGGTTCATCAGTTTCCACGTCTGCGTTGGTGTAAAATCACGACAATAAGAATAAACAATAACAAACTGTGACATTTTCCACCAAACGGTGGCGTCAACTGTCATGACGATGTGCCGTCTGCCACCTTTGAACTCTAGGTACCAAGTGGATGGGCGTTCCCGGCGAGCTGCGAGGCTACGAGGCTGTTCACAGGGCGTACGGGAAGCTGCCCTGGGCCAAGCTTTTTGAGCCGACCATCAAACTGGCCAGGGGTGGCATCCAGATGCCGGATTATCTCGCCACACTCCTGGGCCACAACCTCGTGAAAACGATCGCCAAAAATCTGTGGTACGACGTCTGCGTTACCGTGTGACTGTCACTGTGAACTTTTCCCAACTGTCTCAGATGATCATCTGTCGACGGCTAACCGTACAGTCAGTAATCGAGTGTGGAAACAGTTTTTGGACCAGTGACAACAAAGTGTTTGTTTCCCAAATTAAAAAAAAAAAAAATCTTCACACGGAGGTTCAGAGCAGAGACTCAGATGAAATATATTCTCTCAGTAAATGACTTTGATAAATGTTCCTGTACCCGGGGGTGGGGGGGGGAGGGGGTATTAGTAGATAAGTCCACGTAATCAGTAAGGATAGCGTGTGTTACAGAACAGGGCTTCCCAACCCCTGGTCTGGGGACCTTTGGTGGTCCATAGGTCATTTAGTACCAGGCCTCAGTGAAGAAACTCTACTTCAGTTTTACTGCTTTACTACTTCATTCCAGAAAAATCCAGTCATGTCCCGTTACTGTTTTCATTCAAAGATAACCCTAATCTCCTGCATTGTTTTTTCCAGTTCTGCGCAACTACTGTGCAAAGGCCAGACTTTTCTGACCAAAGGCGACGTCATGAAGTTTCCCAAACTCGCAGACACCTTGGAAGCCGTAGCAAAGAACGGGACGGATGTTTTCTACACGGGCGAGATTGGACTTGACCTGATAAAAGACGTCCAAGCTGCAGGTGTGTGAACGCAACCACTGCCAACAACACGACATAACACTACAGTGTTTGTTAGCAAGGATATAAAAATATATATATATATAAAGTATTTCATAGTTAAACATATAAATATATATGTATGTATATATTTATATATCGAAAATATATGTATATACATACGCTGTCTATATATTTTATATATGTATAGAGTATATACACATATTAATGTGTATACACATATATTAAAAAATATATACACACAGTACATATGTAAATATATAATATATATAGTATAACATTTAAAAATTGTACATGTTCTTCATAACGTTTAACAATTCTGTTAAATATGTATGAATTTACTAAAATGTTTCTTATTACTTACTTATACTTTAAAAATAATAATAATAATGGGACGTTGTAAGGAAAAAATATAATTTACCAAAAGAAAAATGAAAAAAAAAAACAAACAAAAAAAAACAAACCTAAATCGTTACGTAAAATAGCTACAATTAGCCAAAAGAGAGGCTTAAGGCTAGCTTCGAAATATAGTAAATATAATCCCAGAACAAGCTAGGAAGTTGTACAATTAGCTAGTTAGCTTAGAAGTAGCTAATTATTTGACATATACAGACAAGATTTTTCACAAAAAATTTAAAAAAAAGTCAGATAATTAAATTAACCAATCACAATTGTCTTAATATTTCCCATGATTCCTGGAGGCGGGACAATGACGATGGAGGATCTGAAGTCATTCCAAGTACAAGAGCAGGAAGCGTGGACAGTGAACATAGGAAATTTTAAAATGCACCTTCCACCACCGCCTGCTGGGGGCGCCATGCTTGCCTTCATTCTGAAAGTAATGGAAGGTAATACGAGTTTTTGATTACGTTTCCACCAGCAGCTGGTTCTGAATCAGTTAAAGTTTTTTTTTTTTTTTAAATCGTTACGTTGTTTATTTTTAAACGTTGACAGAGTTTTCTTTGAGCCCCGACTCCCTGAAGGGGGACCAGAAGATCCAGCTGTACCAGCGCTACGTGGAGACCTTAAAGTTTGTCAACGGACAAAAGAGGACGATAAGGGACATGGAGAAAAATAAGGAAACGGTTTGTATCAAATATGCGTTTTTCAGCACGTACAGTACTTCATGGAACTGCAGTGGAACCTCGAGATACGAGTATTTCGAGATAAGAGCGAGCCCTCGAGTACAAATTTGAGATACGAGCACGCTTACAAACGCCAACGCTAGGCACCCGCCGCCTCACTCGTTCACTTTAACGTGTTTTCGGCGACTTCCGTACGCATCGCTTCCGTGATTTTCTCTCTATTTCGTGCATTATTCTTCATAACAGTGATGAGTCCTAAGAAGGTGAGCGGTGAGGACGGTAAATATGTGATCGGACACGCATGTACGATCGCAGAACGTCCACGATATGTACCATCTTAAAGTAAAAAAGTTAAAAGTTAAGTTAATTCTTAGTTCATGTAAGTTACGTAGTGTACGTGTAAGGTACGCTACGGAATCAACATACGGGTCAACTCTCGTTCCTCCCTTCCTAAAAAACACAAAACATTTGAAAACCGTTAAAATGATTATTAAAAAAATAATAATAAATAATAAAATAAAACATGTTTTTTAAAAAGTGAGGTCATAAAAATCGGTCTAAATTCCACATCTTTTGTTCCGACTTGACTGTGCGCGATGATCTATAAACATAAAACGAACTTCAAGAAAATGTTTCCCAGTTACTTCATCGTCATGTTTTTTTTGTTTGTTTTGTTTTTTTTTCCCAGAGTGCACGTCACTTGTTGGATCCCTGCTTCATTAAACAAATCAAATCCATGATCTGTTGGAACTGCACCCACGACCTCTCCTACTACAACGTCACGCCCTCCTCTGACCACATGGGGACCACACACGTGTCCATCCTGGACGAGGACGGACTGGCTGTTTCAGCCACCAGTACCATCAACCAAGCGTGAGGAACCAGCTGCGAATCACTGGTCCCTGGTACGGAGCTAAAAAAAAAAAAAAAAGGTGTTCGTTAAATGGGTGCCGTGTTTCTTCAACAGATTTGGAGGCGGGAATTTCTCTCCGCTCACAGGCGTCATCCTGAACAACGAGCTGTCGGACTTCTGCGGCAGAGCAGATGGTGTGAGTCCAGGTAAATTCACCGGTTAGTTTGTCTGGAAGAGATGGATGATGGATGGATGGATGATGGATGGATGGATTGATGGATGAATGGATGATGGATGGATTGATGGATTGATGGATTGATGGATTGATGGATTGATGGATTGATGGATTGATGGATTGATGGATTGATGGATTGATGGATTGATGGATGATGGATGATGGATGTTGATGGATGGACTGAAAGATAGATGGATGGATGAATGGATGGATGGATGGACTGAAAGACGGATGGATGGATAGATGGACTAATGGATGGATGGATGGATGAATAGATGAATGGATGGATGGATGGATGATGAATGGATGGATGGATGAATGGATGGATGAAGGATTGATGGATGGAT